CGCTGCGGCCAGGCGACTGCGAAGGTGCGGGGGGCCGGGACGCGGCCGACCTGCCGTCGCTGAACCCGACCGAACCACCAAGCGGGCGGGGGCCGCTGGAGGAGGGCCTAGGAATTCTTTCTCGGGCCTAGAAAACATTGCTCCGTTGAGGAAAAAGTGCAGACTCGATCTGCGGAAAACTTAGCCGGAAGCCTGCATCACGGGAGTTTGTGTCCTTTCCCATCACTGTCTAGACGTTCCTGGGAGCGATCCGGATCTGGGTCGAAGGGGGTAGGGCCCCGAGGGCCGGCCTCATGCGGCAACTGGCTGTTGTGGTCGTCAAGCTGCATTTCGCGGTTCGGTATTGTATTTGGAAATGAGCAGCATTTTTGATAGTTTTTCTTCAGCTTCCAGGCTATCCATTGTGAGGTCACAGCGAGTCCCTTTTCAAGGACACGTGTTCACATTCGGCTTAAACTTGAAAAGAGCAGGGAGGATCCTATGTGGATCCTTGGGATCATGTTCATTCCCATCATGCACTGGGTACGAGGACCCCTAACATCATAGAGCTGGGTTGTGGGCACCTGAGAAAAACCAGTGATGGAAAAACTTTAACGGTCATCTCCATCTCCTATTAAAACTGCTGACAGAATTCCTTCCTGCTTGAGTGGGGGACACGTTAGTGATTGCTCAGCATCTCTCGTCCCTCTTTTCCAGTTTGTATTTCTTACCTGGGAAGATTTTACCAGGACCTCAAAGACAGAGATGTCACATTCTCACCAGCTACTATCGAAGAAGAACTTATAAAGTTCTGCCGTGAAGCAAGAGGCAAAGAGAATCGGTTGGTGAGTAGCTGCTGACCCATCCCAGTGGCCCTAGCTCCTGTTTACTGTCCACTTCCAGATGGGACACCTGCCTGTAAACTGATGTGAGACTGAAGGTTTCAAGTCCTCCAGGCCTCGTGTATTCTCTAGATATTTTTCATACTGTATTAAGCCCCTACTGTGAGCAAAGTACCATTAAGGCCAGGAGGGAAATGGCAGTAAATAGCTTGCATGTCCTGAAGAAGCTGGACTAGGATGGTTCAGTGGATGGAAGGTGGAGCGGAGTGGAGTGGGAACTGGTTAAACATAGTCTGAGGTATCCCTGAGGAAGCAAGAGTACCCAGGCAGTGTGAGTGCCCCAAGAAAGGAGTTGTGTGTGCTTGGAAACACAAGCAGTTAGCAGGGTACCCCCCAAGAGGGGCCAGGGCCAACTGCAGGGCAAGAGCCCCAGAGAAGCAGTGGCTTTTGTAGCTTTAGTTTCCCTGGATGTCTCATTGGAATTCTGATGGCTCCTAAGCTCATCTGGAGACTGTTAGTTCTGGGACAGGGCACTTGTTAAATAGGGTTTACCATGACTAAATCTGTAGTCCAGGAAAGACCTAAAAAGTAAGGCCCTAGCACAGTAGTTTTTTCGATTACTTAAAGGCTGTGGTCTGGAGCTGGAGAGATGGTTCAGCTGTTTAACAGTGTGTTTTCTTAACTCCTCCAGAGGACCAAAGTTTATTAAAGATCCCAGCACATCAGGCAGCTCTTCACACTCCAGCTCCAGGGGATCCAACACCCTCTTCTAGCCTCCATGGTACCCACCACACATGTACACACCCCCACACATATATACATAATTTTTTTTAAGGCTGTTCTTTTTTGCTACAGTGCTACTACATTGGGGCCACAGATGATGCTGCCACCAAGATCATCAATGAGGTGTCCAAGCCCCTGGCCCACCATATTCCTGTGGAGAAGATCTGTGAGAAGCTGAAGAAGAAAGACAGCCAGATCTGTGAGCTAAAGTATGGTGAGTGTGCCCAGGCCTTAGATAACAAATGCTGTGTGCCTCTTCTGGGCTTACTTTCTCACAGGGAGAAGAAGGTGATAATAGTGACTTCAAGGGGTTCATAGCAGTATGGATAATACGTACTGCTTTGGGGACCAGGACTTTGGAATCAGTGGAAGGAGGTCAGAAGTTGAGGAGGTAATACATTAGCAAACTTTGAAGTAGGTGAGGACTGGCCAAGAGTGAGGCCAGCTAATGGAAGTGCATTTGGACGGAGAATGGAGACAGCCCTCTGACAGTTTGGCAGGTCACAGAGGGCCTTGCAGGGTTTTGAGCAAAGAGCGATGTGATGAGACTTGGGTTTAACAGACTTGTCCTGTCTATATGTCAGAAGGCCCCAAGACCAGCCCAAGAGTGACAAGAGAACACAGCATCTCTATGGCTGAGCCCATCTTGTTACATAATAATCCCAGTCTTCAAAGAGAGTGAAGCCTCACTTGTAAAGTTTAAACAGAACCAGTGTTTATTGTGACTCAAGTGTCCAAGAGACTGTGTTTACATTTGTGTCAACATACTGTCCTAAGTGATCCTGAAACAGGTTATTCCACGTCACAGGGGGATCACAGAGTAAGTGCCTGACTCCAGTGCTGTACTGGGGATAACTGGGGATCTGTCTACTGTGTGACAGCCTGGAACTGTCATTCTGTAACAACAGTATAGGAAGGCACTTGGGATTGAAGCCATGGTCCTCCTCTTGAAGACAGTGTGGTCTCTCTGCACTGCATGACCCATGGTGGGCACTGACCCTGAGGCAGCCCTCCTGGTGAAGGGGGGTTACCTCTTGGATACAGTGACAGAGTGTACTTATATTCATGTCTCCTCTACAGCAGGTAGGGTTAGTTGTCTTACAGAATGGTTTGCCATGCACAGGAGTGACTTACTCCAGCACTATTGGGGGCCAACAGCATTTCCTGCCCAGCCACTTACTCTCCTGCTCTCTCTGCAGATAAGCAGATTGATCTGAGCACAGTGGACCTGAAGAAGCTCCGGGTGAAAGAGCTGAAGAAGATCCTGGACGACTGGGGGGAGACATGCAAGGGCTGTGCAGAAAAATCTGACTACATCCGAAAGATAAATGAACTGATGCCTAAATATGCCCCTAAGGCAGCCAGTGCTCGGACTGATTTGTAGTCTGCCCAATCCCTGCTGCACCTGAGGGAAAAGCAATTCGGCTGTCCCTTCCCAAAAGCAGCTTTTTTGTAATTTATTTTTTAAGCGGGCTCCTGGCAATATGAGATGTGAAGTCTGGAGCTTTCCTGATGATACTGGCTCTACAGTGTCCCTCTGAGGGAATTCACTTCCTTTGTTGCTGGTTTACTCTAGGACTTCAAAGTGTGTCTGGGATTTTTTTATTAAAGGAAAAAAAATTCTAGCTATGCTTGGAGCGTTAAAGTGAATTATGAAACAGGATTCTGTCATAATGATCCTACAAGTTTTATCTATCTAGTTTGTAAAGAGTGGTAGTACAAATTCCCATCTGTCCCTCAGCCTCCAGTACTGACAGGAGGGACTGAAAACACCAGGCAAGACTGAGGGGCCCAAGGCAGCTCCTCTTCCAGGAGGCTTCCTGACTTGGGGTGGGAGGGAGGGTTGGCTGGAAGGCATTTACTACTTTAGCCTGGGGAGGAGCTAGGCCTGACCTGCTGCCCACCAACCCAGTAGGAGGCCTGGAGGCTGTCCTGTTCCTAGGCATAGCTGAGTCTGAAGTTCATGGGAGGGCTTTACATCTTGGCTTATCACACGCACAACAGGCTGTGCAAAGTGGTTTTCCTCAACAGCTTTAGTGCATGTGCCCTGTGTTGACATTCCTGAGCTCTGCCCTGCTATCTACTTGCTCATCTCCTGGTCTAGTTCTAGTGCCAGTACCAAGCCTCATGCCTACATGGATTTTTAAGAGTCTAGCAGGAATCAAATTTATACAAGAAGCCATGTAAGGGTTGCCTTTCAGCTGTTTCCCTTGATGACTGGCCTGCCTGATGCCTTTGTGCACTCCCCTTTTCAGCTGCTCACCTGGCAGTGTGAGCTGTGCACCAACATCGATACTAGCTCCTGCTGCCCACAAAGATCACATGAAAGGAGGGACTCCAGAAGTTGTGCTTTCCAATGCACTGGTCTTAACTCACTTCTTGTGTGGTTCCTAAGTTCAAATTGCGTCCACAGGGCCTTACAAAGCCTGCCGTGGAGCCCACTGCTCTCTTCCAAGACCTTTCCTCTTGCACCTGTTACCTGCCAACAGCTTTCTAAAGCCTGTGGGAGGAAGAGCTGGGTTTTCTTGTGAGATTTTTCAGTGACTCCAACACTGGACAGCATGGTGAGCCTGGAAAGCAAGAGGAACTTCTGGCACTGTGTGTTCTTTGCCCTTGGTTCCATAGCCTTGCCTTTCCACCTCCTCTTCCTGGACACCTATAGCAGAAAGTTGGAGCCAGTGACACAAAGGAGGCTTGTTTCTGTAGGCTGCAAATGCAAAATGTCACCTGCATCCTGTCACAATTTGCTTGGCTTTGTGAGGACAGCTCGTGAAGAACTTAAATGCAGAAGATGCCGGCAATGTGGGTCCTGGACAGGGTGTAGGAATTTACCTTCAAGGATGTCAACTCCATACCCAATCGGAAGATGCCACGGAGGTGAATGGGGGTTGCTCGACCTAGTCGGTTTGAGAGGGATACCACACATAAAGAGGCTGCTGGGTCAAGACCCTGGACCCTGGCATGCACGGAAGTTTGCCAGTCCTAAAAGCTGCGAAGATGAAGCTAGCCCTGGCGCACAAAGCTTACTTCCAGCCTGGGGCCCCGCCTCGCTTCAGAGGGAAACCCATCTCGACGCATTAGCCCCTGGCGTTGGTCCCGCCAGCCACGCGATGGCGCTAGAGAGCGCATCAGACCCGTTCCTCCGCTTGACAGGAGGTCACATGGCACTGGGCGCGCAGCCCAATGACACACGCCGGGTGGAGTGTCGCCCCGCCCGCCGAAGTCACGTGGCGCGGCCGGCGCAGCTTGATAACGCAGCGCCCAGCCCCTCGGCGCCGCTCCCGCCCCGCCCCGCCGCCGCCGCCGCGCCGAGTCCTTTTGTCCAAGATGGCGGCGCCGGGGGCGCTGCCTCCTGGGCCGCCGTTGCTGCCGCTGTGAAGGGCCTGCGAGCCGCCCGCCCGCCCGCCGCGCCGGCGCCATGAAGCGGCAGAACGATAGAGACTCTAGCCCGAGCGGGCGTGGCTCGTCATCGTCCGCCAAGCGGCCGCGGGAGCGCGAACGGGAGGCAGAGGCGGGCGGGCGGCGGGCGGCGCACAAGGCCTCTGGCGGCGCCAAGCACCCGATTCCAGCGCGAGCCCGTGACAAGCCCCGCAGCGGCGGCGGCGGCGGCGGCAGCGGACATCGCAGCAGCAGCTCGGGCTTGGCGCCTCCTGCCTCCTCGTCCGGACGCCTCAGCTCGCCTGGACGTCACACTCCCACGACCTCCAGCAGCCCCAACACCGGCTCCACCTCGGTCACCGCCTCGCTCCACTCCCGCCGCCCCCGCCGCCCCCCGGGACGGAACCTGCGGGTCCTGGCTCCGCGGCCGCTCCGGAGTACAAGACGCTCCTCATCAGTAGCCTGAGCCCCGCGCTGCCGGCCGAGCATCTGGAGGACCGGCTCTTCCACCAGTTCAAGCGCTTCGGCGACATCAGCCTGCGCCTGTCGCACACGCCGGAGCTGGGCCGCGTGGCCTACGTGAACTTCCGGCACCCACAGGACGCGCTGCGGGTCCTGGCTCCGCGGCCGCTCCGGAGTACAAGACGCTCCTCATCAGTAGCCTGAGCCCCGCGCTGCCGGCCGAGCATCTGGAGGACCGGCTCTTCCACCAGTTCAAGCGCTTCGGCGACATCAGCCTGCGCCTGTCGCACACGCCGGAGCTGGGCCGCGTGGCCTACGTGAACTTCCGGCACCCACAGGACGCGCGCGAGGCCCGGCAGCACGCCCTGGCCCGCCAGCTGCTGCTCTACGACCGCCCGCTCAAGGTAGAGCCGGTTTACCTGCGCGGCGGCGGCGGCGGGAGCAGCCGGAGGAGCAGCAGCAGCAGCGCCGCCGCCTCCACGCCGCCCCCGGGGCCGCCCACGCCCGCAGACCCGCTCGGCTACCTGCCGCTGCACGGGGGCTACCAGTACAAGCAGCGCTCGCTGTCCCCGGTAGCCGCCCCGCCCCTGCGGGAGCCCCGCGCGCGCCACGCTGCTGCAGCCTTCGCCCTGGATGCTGCGGCCGCTGCGGCCGTCGGGCTGTCTCGGGAGCGGGCCTTGGACTACTACGGGCTGTACGACGACCGCGGGCGACCCTATGGCTACCCAGCCGTGTGCGAGGAGGACCTGATGCCCGAGGACGACCAGCGAGCTACGCGAAACCTCTTCATCGGGAACCTGGACCACAGTGTGTCCGAGGTGGAGCTTCGACGCGCCTTCGAGAAGTATGGCATCATCGAGGAGGTGGTCATCAAGAGGCCTGCCCGCGGCCAGGGTGGTGCCTATGCCTTCCTCAAGTTCCAGAACCTGGACATGGCCCACCGGGCTAAAGTGGCGATGTCTGGCCGGGTGATTGGCAGAAACCCCATAAAGATCGGCTATGGCAAGGCTAATCCCACCACCCGCCTCTGGGTAGGTGGCCTGGGACCTAACACCTCACTTGCAGCCCTGGCCAGAGAGTTTGATCGCTTTGGGAGCATTCGCACCATTGATCACGTCAAAGGAGACAGCTTTGCTTACATCCAGTATGAGAGCTTGGACGCAGCCCAAGCCGCCTGTGCGAAAATGAGGGGCTTTCCCTTGGGTGGTCCAGACCGCAGGCTCCGGGTGGATTTTGCCAAAGCAGAGGAAACTCGCTATCCCCAGCAGTACCAGCCCTCACCTCTCCCTGTGCATTATGAGCTGCTCACTGATGGATATACCCGGCATCGAAACCTGGATGCTGACCTTAGGGTGCGTGATAGGACACCCCCACACCTTCTGTACTCTGACCGAGACCGGACCTTTTTGGAAGGGGACTGGACCAGCCTCAGTAAAAGTTCGGATCGCAGAAACAGCCTAGAGGGCTATAGCCGCTCAGTGCGCAGCCGGAGTGGTGAGCGTTGGGGGGGAGATGGGGACCGGGGTATCCCCAAGCCCTGGGAAGAGAGGCGCAAGCGGAGGAGCCTTTCCAGTGACCGGGGGAGAACAACCCACTCCCCTTACGAGGAACGGAGCAGGACCAAGGGTGGGGGACAGCAGTCTGAACGAGGCTCGGACCGCACCCCAGAGCGCAGCCGCAAGGAGAACCACTCCAGTGAAGGGACCAAGGAGTCAAGCAGCAGCAACTCCCTCAGCAACAGCAGACATGGTGCTGAGGAGAGGGGCCACCATCACCACCACCACGAGGCTCCAGACTCTTCCCACGGGAAGAAGACAAGAGAGAGTGAACGCAATCATCGAACCACTGAGGCAGAGCCCAAGACTCTTGAAGAGCCAAAACACGAGACCAAAAAGCTAAAGACTCTTTCAGAGTATGCGCAGACACTGCAGCTGGGTTGGAATGGGCTTCTAGTGTTGAAAAACAGCTGCTTCCCAACATCTATGCACATCCTGGAGGGGGACCAGGGAGTTATCAGCGGTCTCCTCAAAGACTACACTTCTGGCAGCAAGCTCACCCAGCTGAAGATTGCCCAGCGCCTTCGACTGGACCAGCCCAAGCTCGATGAGGTCACCCGCCGCATCAAGCAGGGGAGCCCCAATGGCTATGCAGTGCTCCTAGCCACCCAGGCAACCCACGGTGGGTCTAGCACTGAAGGGCTTCCCACCGTGGAGCCAGGCCTACAGAGGCGGCTTCTCAGGAACCTGGTCTCCTACTTGAAACAGAAGCAGGCTGCAGGGGTGATCAGCCTGCCGGTAGGGGGGTCCAAGGGCAGAGACAGCACAGGCATGCTCTACGCCTTCCCACCCTGCGACTTTTCACAGCAGTACCTCCAGTCAGCACTGAGAACATTGGGCAAGCTAGAGGAAGAACACATGGTGATAGTTATAGTAAAAGACACTGCCTAGCCCGTGCCTGTCTTTTCCAGCTGTCACAAAAGCAGTTATTTTACAATCTGATCCTTTCTCTACCTGCTTTACTCCCTTGGTTTGAATTCTCTGCTGGGTGGTTTTGGTTCATTTGGTGGGCGTCTTGTCCACCACTAAAACTAAGTTCTTAGATTTGGGGGGAGTTTTTTTAATGAGACTCCTGTTATGTTGACTTCTAGTGTATGAGATACCATCTGCTGTATTTTTTTTTTTTTTTGACTAACTATGGAAAGTTGTCAGTAAAGCTTTTGTCAGAGGAAAAATTTTTAATCTGACCAGAGTCCTGGTTTAATCAAGTTTTTTCTTTAAGAATGGAAACCAGCCCTCAGCTGTCATGTTTTCAGCACCACTGCGTCCAAAAGTGGCTGTCAACTCTACATGCTGTCAGGACTTCGATTGCACTTGTCGATCCTAACTGAGGACCAGCAGACTTATGTCAGCCTGAGCTGAAAGAGAAAGGGGCTAAACCTAAGGTCTGTGCCAATAGCTACTGGTAGTTTGTTTTCCCTGCCCTAAAGGTGTATGTCAGTTTGAGCCATGGCTGAAAGCACCCAGTTTATGTTTATAAAGCGTATTTAACAGCAGGTAGTTTGCAGTTCAGCACTCTTGCATTTGAGGGAGGAACAGTGCAATATTAATGCCAAGGGGTCTTGAACATGACCTGTCCAGGCCCTCTGGTTCAGTCTTTTAGTCTTACCTGGTTAGGTTTAGAGATCTCCAGGATCAGAGACATCTGCTTCTGATTCCCAGGAGTCCTGGAGGCCAAAGGTTGACATGATGAGAGGCAGTCTGCCTTATTTAGCTCTTGAACTTCATGAGTGTACTTGTGATTTTGGCTTTCTTTGGTTGGTCAAGGGCTATGTTGAGTGTAGAATGAGCCATGCCAGTCAAGCCTAAAACATTGTGGAGAGCAGTTCAGTGCTGCAGGGGACTAGTGTGCCAGGAAGATGTCCTTGATGAGTGACATAATATTCCCTGCTCTGATATAAGGGAGATAAAGGAAACAGTCCTTTGTGAGAAGGAAGTCTCAATTGCTAAGTGACGGGCTACCGGGCAAAGCCACTTTAAGGAAACAGATGAGGCATCCTCTGGCCGAGAGGGGAAAGCGGCCTGAGGAGTTTTAGAATCTGCCTTCACTATCTCCTCAGCACAAAACTGAGACTCCAGAATGTGTGGCAGCTTGAGATCACTTAGAGCTAGGGAGTGTGGAACCCCTGGTAAGAGACGAACCTCTTGAGTGTCCAGCACTACAGGGTCTGGCCTGCTCCCTGAGGCAGCACTTGGCACCACTGGGCTGTGAAAAGAGCTCCTTGCAGGCTATGTGGAACCCATGCCTGTCTACAAGGACAGAAACCTTGGAGATTGGGAGACAATGGGAAAGTGCTGCTCCCTGGGCCTTGGCATGATGTTCACAAGCCACCAAGCATGTTCCTAAAGAAAACTACACAAAGGAGTGTTAAATGTGTTTGCTGTTTCTATCGGGCTCTGGCCTTAGCCTCCAGGTATCTGAGCAAGTAAAGCACCATTTCAGGATTCTACAGGTTTCTGCTGAAACTGGAATGGGCCTCATGTTGAAGGCACATTGCAATTTTTCTTGTAGATCTGCAACAAAAGCTGAGTCACAGAACTGCTGTGGTATTTCTAGGCACCTTTTTTCACAGAGCAGGGTGCTTGACCAAGCATATGCTTCTCAGCCTTCCCAGGTGGAACCAAGTAGAAAGAGTCACCTCTGGTCCCCAGCTTCGTCCACCCTATCGCTCCAGCAAAAACCTTTTTTTTTTTGAAGAGCCACACCCTACTATAACCTTCCTCCTTACCGTCCCTCAGCCTAACCATTTCCTTTAGCCCTTGAGACATAACAGGTTTTGTGGCCTCAGCCAGCCCTGCCAACACTAGAGAAGTGGGTCAGGTGGCCACAGTCTTGGTGGTTCATGACGTTATGATCAGTGAGAAAGTGAATAGCAGGTGCCCAGTGCCTCCATCTGGGGTCAGGTCCTATCTCAGATGTTGCTTAAAGACAAAAAGCACGACAGGCAAAACCCCCTAACTAGTAATTCATATTGTATGTGTGTCTTCCTAGGTAACTCAGGTTCTGAACCTCAGCAAAACAAGAGTGAATTTTTTTTTTTTTTAAGGTCCCATAGGGCACTTTCCAAAGGGAGTGTTGTCAAGTCAACCAGAACTGTGCTTTCCTATTAAATGTGCCCATCCCTACCTTGGAGGCCTGTGGGTGCTCCCAAGAGCTCCTGGCAGATCAGCTGTGTTAATGACAATACAGAGCCTGCACTGCTTGACTTATGAGCTCTTCTGCTGCATCAGTACCAGTAATCAGACTGTCCCACTGGCTGGTGTCAAGCTACGCACTTAAATCTGAGGCATGAAGCAAATGAAGAGCTGAGTCCTCTGTTCTCCAAAGGACTAAGATGTACCTTTGTCATACAGGCCCACTTCAATGTGTGTGACAGACTGTATGTTCCCAAGCCCAGCAGGCTTTACCTGCCCCTGGAGAGTTTTAGCCGTCTTGTGTTGCTTGTTTACTTCATAACCAAATGTGTCCCCTATTCTCTCAGTAAAGGGAGAAATAGCTCTGTAGCTGAACATACCTATGTAACAGAAACTGAGAAAATCAAAGGGAGAAACTAGTGTCTTCTATTTATTGTGGGAAGGAGAGTGGTGGGGGTGAGCAAAAAAGGAGCCCCCTGGTCCTTTCTCTGTGGTTACAGTTTAGACATAAGTCAATTTTACACCCCCCTGAAGTTTCTCCTAAGTCCAGCCTGACCAACCCTCAAGTGCCCCTCAACCTCCAGCACTGGAGAACTGCTAAAGTCCCTGTTACACTCCCAGCCAGGGGAAGGCCAGGCCTTTCCCTCAGTTTTGCCAGGTCACTTCTCTAAAAGGTCCCCCAACATAGGGATGAAGATGTCCACAGACACTGCCCCTTGCAGCTCCTTCTGTCCCATGTTGTCCTTACAGGTCCTTCAGTGACCTCAGGCCAGGCTCAAGCTGACTGAGCTACTGTTCTCACTGGGGGCTTTCTGTGGGAGGAACATGTTCTCACCACAAGCCTGCTCTGGCTCCTTTAGAAGTTGCTATGGTCTGGCTAGAGTTGCAGGAAAGGTACACTCTACTTTGGTAAAAGACAATAGGGAAAGGCCATCAACAAAGACAGACTTGTAGTTTATTTTGTATTTTTTTTTAAATAAATACACTTTACATTAAAGAAAAAGGCCTTTGATTTGTAATTTCCACATTGGGGAGAAAGGGAAGAAAAAAAGATTTTGAAAAACTGAATCACAAAGAAAAATAGAGGGAGTGAACTTATATCCTAAGTTCCCTCAACTCCACAAAACCAGTATCCATATGACTACTGCCCTGGTCAAAAAGGTAGTGGGGTCAGGCATGTCCCAGCAAACAAGCCTTGCCTTCCATCCTGCCTCTGGCACAAAGGAAAACAAATTAACTTGACAGCATATGAGGCAACAAAACAGGTTAAAAAATCATATATTATATTTATAATAAAATATTCTTAATCCTTATCAATTTAAGAAACCACGATTTTCTTCATTTAAATAGGTATGTAAAAATGCCTCTATATTGTTCTTTAGACATCATTTTCTTCCAAAGAAAATGAAGTGCAGGGACAGGAGACTGGTGGATATAAGTTCATACCCTCAGTTATAAATGCCTGTTGCCTTTTTTTTTTCTTTTTCAAGTTTTATAAAAAACTATTTCTTGTTCTTTAAGTAAAGAACATTATACAAAGAAAATATATTGTGAAAGAACCCCAGAGACATGTTTGTGTTTTTCCTCAAGGAAAGGTATGTCCATTCTAGGAGAAGGGGGAAGCAAACTAGGATCTAGTCCCTGTTGTCTTTTTGTGGTTGTTATTGTTTTTAGAAGGGCCCTGATTCCAGGGAGACTCTAAACCATAATCCTCTGAATGCAGGGCATACAGTTCCTTAACGGACAGCCCTGGGAGACAGCAAAGGGCAGCTGTTCTGAATTCATTCACTTAGTTTCTCTCGCCTGTCAAGATTCTCTTCCAAGTGGGGATGGCACATCACTCATTCAGAGATAAGATGATGTCATCTTCCAAATCAGAGTTGTCCGAGCTGTCCGCTGAAAGGTAAGAGAAGGGAGAATGATTATGTGCTAGGACTGTAGGAAACTCCTGCATTCAACACACTTATGGCCTGAGCAGGGTTAATTTCCAGAAAGAAAACACAACAATTAACTCCTTGGAGCTTGGCTCTGGAGGATATACCTGTTGCTGGCAACAGTGGCCTCCCCCTGGGACCTTTGCTTCTCTTGCCTTTCAAAGGACCTGGACTTCTTTGAGGCTTCCTGCCTGGGACACCTCAAAGGGATCAAGTGAGCACCCTGGAGCCTCCATCTGAGGCACTGGGATGCAAAGAGGCAGGGCTGAGGGGAGCGAAGGCCCCAGCTCCAGGCCTCTTGTGTCCTTTTGGGATGACACAGGCCTGACCTTGAGGGACCACTAAAAAGGCAGACTCATGGGCTACATAGTAAGTTCCAGGCCAGCTTATGCTACAGAAAGTGAAATCATCTTAAGCTAACAGGGGCTTGGGAGAGGAGGATGGGAAGAAAGAGGTCAAAGGTTCAAAGATGACAGGAAGGATGAACACATCTAGGTTCCAATGTACAATTTGAGGGCAATATGTAATAAAATTAGATTCTGGATCACACCAAATGAGATTTTTAGCTGTTCTTGCCACAGAAGAAACAACAAAAAGTGGGCAATTAGGTAATGGATACATTAATTTTTTTCACTATAGTAACCTTTTTACATTTTTTCCAAACTATTGTAATGTATACTTTAAATATACACAGTAAAATTTTTTAAAATGATTAAGAAGGCAGGCTGAATCTTAAGAGAATTTTCTTAACTTCCCTTGGACAATCATCCTAGGATTCATTCCTGTCATTTCTGAATATAATCTGCAGGCAACAAATGCCCAGAAAGGTCAAAGCTGGTTCAAAGCACTACCAGAAAAGAGCAATCCATCCAAATACAAGCAGGAGGCCAGAAGGAGCACTAAGACCAAGGACTTCAGTTTCACAAGCAGAAGGTGAACTCTAACCCTTCTGGAAGCATCAACTGAGGACTGAAACTAGATGGTAGCAAAGGAGCCCCTCAACTAGGCATAAAGGTACATAACTACAACCTTGCACACAAGAGGCCAAGACAGAAGGATCACAAGTTTGAGGCCAGCCTGCTATACTGTGAAACCCTGTCTTAAGGTCTCTCC